GCGCTTAGATGATTAACTTAATTTAAATATTAATACAATACACTTTACTTATAATTACAAGCAAATGAAGGTGTGTTGAAGGGGTTTTCTAAAATTATATCAGACTTTACCATATTCTAAAAATAATTTAAAATTACATTAAAACATAAAGAATTTATAATTTAAATGTTTTCTTCATCAAATCATATAGAAAAATATTATATACTTTGAGATTCTAATTTTAATTACAATAAAACTAAAATTTTCTTTTTTACATACTTCAATTAATCTTTAAATTTAAAGAACTTCCTCTAACTACAAAATTATCAATATTTATATTCAAGTATATTAAATATTCTTGATATTCTAAAGGATTATATATCATTAGATAACGAATAAAAACAGATAGAATATAGGCTATGGCAATGTTATTTACCCTAATTTATTTAACTAGAGTTATAAATAGGAAAATGAATTTTTCATACTTATAGAAAAGTATTCCAATAAATCGATTAAGCATTTTCAGAACACATCTGTATTTCTTAATTTAAACATAATTGAAATACGAAAAATAATTTGGAAATGCTTTATAGTATTAAATGCATTGAATTTATAAATTTTCGATCTATGCTTTATATATTAAAAATAAATATTTTTACAGATTAACATATTTATATAGTGACATTCAAAAGATTTGCATAAATAGTGTAAATTAAGATCAAAGTTTGATTTAAAATATGTAATTTATGATTTTAATCAAAGAAGATTATTTAAGATAAAGGTCTCATACAACATAAAAAGAAAGAATAATTTAAAGATTTTAAAATCTAATACCAAAGAAACAATTAAGAAAACCCAATTTTGAAATCCCAAAATCGATTGGATATTCCTAGCGAAAATTATAAATTATATCGCATTATCTTCCATTTTCAAAACTATTGAATATTATTCTAATATTCTCAAAATTTGAGTTTATTAAAAATTTATGAAAATTGAATCACCTTAACTCAAAACACAGGTTTGATCTCTAAATCAAAATGGCATAATATTCAAAATTTCTTTATAAGATTACCATCTAAATGAATATAGATTAAGAAAATGTAGTATTTCATCTCATAAATTCATATTATTATGACATAATATTTAATTTGTATTTGGATCCAAATCTTAAAATAAATTATCTTAAAATAATATTTATATATTCTAATACCACTCTAAAATACATGTCACAAACAGATAGCACTAAAACATCAGGATAAAAAGTCAAAAAATAACTTATTAGTCCTTTAAAAGAAGCACTTTCATAATTAAAGAAATCATATAAATTTTTTATCCCTAATGAACAAGATGTAATACTTGTTCATGTAGATCTACAATGTCATATTGAATTGTTAGAAGCTACTTCTAGAGCACTCAAACTTGTACCAAAACCCAACCCAGTAGATTACAATCCCAATAACTATGATATTTATGTTGCCAAGAAAAATGGCCATCCTAAAATGGACTTTCCCTCATACCAAACAAACTTAAGACTTGAAGAAACAGGAAATTTCGTATTTTCCTTAGTTCATGTAACATATTAAGAAAAAAATGTCAGAAAATCAATCAGAAAATCCACTTATGACCTTTCACACTATCAAAGTCCAACGAAACCTTCAAAATCAAAAGAAATAAATCTAAACATACTTAAACCAGAAACAAACTGGCTACTTCGATTTTTAGGATGTGCATGATTCTCTATATGTTTATTGCTAATTTTTCACAAGTATATTAGTAATCATTCTTAAAATATTCTAAATTTATTGTTATTTTTTTTTATTTTCATAATCTCAGCATAGTGATTGAATTAGTTTAAAAATCTGAAACACGAATTAATTCTTAATGGGTATACATTTAAATACTCATTTACAACTAAAAAGATGTTTAAAATTAATAACATTTATAAATAATTAAAGGATTTATTCCTAATAAGAAAATGTTAAAATAGATTTAAGTGAAAATCTTATGATTATTTCGATACAGCTTATTGATTAGAATATTAAATTTCATATTTCTTTAATATGGTTTAGAATCATTACAATATTGAAATCTAAATTAATCTATCAGCCTCAAATTTGAGATTTTGAAATTTTCTTTAGTTTTCTTGTTATGATATATGATGCACCACATTAGGTTTTTATTGTTTCTCTATTAACAACAGAAGGTTTATCTTCACTCCAATAGCAATACCTAAGGTTATTCTGATGATTACATCCTTCAATTCACCCTCTAAAATTTACATCGTTGAATCCCTTAGCGCAAAGACTTTTTGAATATTCAAATTTAACTATAAATTTTTGTTTTCATTATCATACAACATTTGATTTTAATGTTTACTATGATTGAATTAATAAAGAATTAATTTTCAATTTTTAGATAAATTAATAATTGTTTTATATACATCTTTACAATTTTCATAAT